GCACACTGCCTTTGCCTTTAATCTTCTTTCTCATTCCCTCATTTCCCTTCCCTTCAGACTATTCTTCCAAGGAATGTGAGGGCTCCCTGGATTTGTCCATCAGCTTGTTGTCCTCTGGTGGTTTCTGTTTCCCTCCCTGACATACATCCAGGGCCCAGAAAGGCAATTTTCAGCATTTTGGTCAGCCCTGATTGAGCACCTACGGTGTGCTAGGCTGTGTCTGGTGTTAAACAGCCAAGAGTGCCAGAAATAAGACACAGTTTGCAAAGAGCATGGTGGGGGTGGAGGTTCTGCGTGGCCACCCGAAGGCTGAGCGGAGTTAGCTAAGAGCAGAACGTGTGTGAAAGGCATTTCTGACAGGGAACAGCCTTGCGGAGCTCTGTGGGGAGGAGGAGGCCCCGCACCTGTCTGAAACCCCCTTCCTTTAGTGGGCAGTCGGTCTTCACGTGCTAACACGAGGCTCAGCTGCCTCCCACTTTCCTGTTGCCGTTGTCGCTGCAGAGTCACCTTAAACGCTTCTGGAAAGCGCCCAGCATCCCGGTGCGTTTACCTTTTCTCGTCATGTCTGTAAGATGAAGAGGTCCGGCCACTGGTCCATATAAACATCTTAGGGGATGTTGGTCCAGGGGCTCCTTTCCTTACAGTGGAGGTCCTGGAGGAATGGCGAAAAGACCTAGAAGAGGCACACAGGGGAGTTAAGCTCAGTACTGTAAGTTGTGGGAACTCCTAGTAATGGCAACCGGGAGAACTCACCGCATTGACTCTCTCAAATAACGCCAGATTTTCATGCCATGGAGCCAGTGGTTCTCAATCTTGGCTGTGCATTAAAGATAACTGGGAATCTTTTGAACCACTGAATCCTGGTCCTTCCCTTAGAATTTTGCATTTAATTTTTTAAAGCTCCCTAGTCATTGCTAATGCATTGCTGGTGTTGAGAGTCACTGCTTTAGAAGACAAGGTTTCCTAATTGTCACATAAATTGTATTTTCCCCAGAATGTCTTTTTCAAAATACAACTTTGGTATAGGTCATACTCTGCAATATGCTACATTTTTCCAAAATTGGGAATACGAAATTTGGAAAAACTAAATCAAATCTGGATACGAAACATCTTTCCTCTTTGAACTGTTGCTTTATAATGCTGACAGATGTGACATGTTGGTGATAAAACATCATCTTTTAAATGTGTTCTACTTTCGCCAGTGTTGTGGCTTCTGCCCTTGGCAATTGAGTCTCTGCCTAAGAAAGTTACAGACAGTGGACACTCACTGGCTCCCAGAGACCAGGTTTATCAGATCGCAGTCAAGATATTTTAGGAATGTTGTGTTCTTTAGGTTATAACTTGGCTTTGTGGGTTGTTCTTTCATTTTTAAGGTCATCATTAAAAATAACTATTATGTTTTCTACATAACACACATTTTCTAGGGAGTTAGAAATATGAAATAGAAAAATCTTAATCACATATAAAGTTTAAAATACTACACAGTACATCAGAACAAAGGAAGGAAGAAAATGGTTCCTTTATGAATACACAGCCATGAGTGGCTTTCATTTTGGTTAACCACAATATTAATGATAAACATGGACTGGAAATAGTATCAGCCACTATATACCATGTTATCTACTGTATGCCAGGCACTCTGCATATATTATCTATGCACATAGCATGAAATGCTTGTGTATCTATCTAAGTTATTCTTATACCATGAAAACCCCATCAGGTGCATGGTGATATTATTTCCAGATTATAAATGATGCTTTCTGAAGAGCGAGGTATTTACTTACATTTAGAAAAAGTGAAACTATGCTTCAAACTGTGTGCTTCCTATTCTTTTTTCTAATTAAAAAATTTAAATTTCAATTTACTTATTTTATTATTTTTAGAGATGAGGTCTCCTTACGTTGCACAGGTTGGATGTGATGACTATCGCAGGCATGATTATAGTGAACTCCTGGCTTCCAATGATCCTTCCACCTCTGCCTCCTGTGTAGCCGGGTGCATTTTAACGTGCCTGGGTTGCCTGTAACTCTTGTTCTCTCTAGAGCAGTGATTTTCACCCCCCCCCTTTTTAAAATCTCACAGTTTACTTGAACCTGTAGTTAAACTTACAGTGCACTTAAATTATGTTAATCAAAAAGAAGAGTAAGAAGTATATGCTTATTGTACTTTGAACTGCTTTCAAAAATAACTTAATAATCCTTAAGAATTTTTGAGGCACATCTAAGACCCTGTCATGGCACCCCAGTGTGCCACTGCACCCCAGTTGAAAATCACTGATCTAGAGAAAGACACATTATGGACTAGCCTCGTGCTTCTTCAACTGTGAAGTCCATAGGAATTACTAAGGGTTTGTCACAATGCAGATTCTGATTCAGTGGGCCGAGGGTGGGACCTGTGATCCTTCTTTTCTGATAAGCTCTTAGGAGATGTTTATATTGCTGGTCTCTAGACAACATTGGTACTCAGAGTAAGTACAGTAGAACCTCCCCACTGACCACCTCCCTAAGTTGAACTAATTCTCACAGACTGGACATGCACCACATGTACCTACCAGTACAGTAAGCCTAGGTCCTTATGTTGACCACCTCTGTGTGTTGACCAGTTTGTTACAGTCCCTTGGGTGGTTCTACGGTGGTTGGTTATAGGCCCAGTTTTGTCACTGGCTGTGTGACCTTGAGGAAGTTACTTAATCTCTCTAAGGCTTAATTGGTACTGTGGAGAGTTTGAAACAGGTAATCTCTGATATTTCTCTCAGTTCCAATATTTTATGATTCAGTAAATTGAAGAATGAATGAAAGCATATGCTAGGTCATCGTGCATCAGTTTTCTGGGGATAGGTCTGGGGATAGATCTTCTGTAACCCTGGGGTTAGCATCAGAGGTATAAAGAACAGAGGCTGTAGGAGGCAGTGAGGGTTTAGTAACCAGTACACATGTAAGAGGTCACACCTCCAGGCTTGATCTCCTGGGGTAAAGACAGGAATGTGAGGATCCACCTCAATGGATGCCCTGAATAGTTTTAGGAAGATTAGGAACTGAATCTGCTAGTCTTTTAAATAATTTGGATCTGGGATAAAGTTATTTATATTCCTTTTTGAACATCTTTGAAACATCAGATAAATAGGGATTAAATCCCTTATTAAAACCAGTTATCCTTCAGGAGATAAGAATGATTTTAATCAAACTTGAATGAATTACTCACAAGAATAAGAACTGGCTTAAACTTTCAGGAAGTTATTTCAACAGGAGTCTGGTAGGACCTTCTGATGGTTTTCATGATTCCTTCCAAGGGATTGTGATGGGGGCAGACAAAAGGGGCACAATTTGAGGCGAGGCAAGCCAATAAATTACTAAGTGCTGTTCTGTCACTGGCTGTTACACAGCATTAAATAAATGCATCGTACAAATCATGAATGCTTTGCAATTATTCAGAGTGAAGGGGCTGCAGTGATTTCAATAAACTGAGAATACTTTCAGACCATGTGTCATTATTCCAGCACTGCATTTTTGCGGGGCTGTTTTCAGATGAGGCGGAAAGAGGGAGATGAAAGATGTATTTATTCCAGCGAGCTGTCTAAGTCTTACTGCGGAGGACTTAACGACTCCTCGGGTTATTCTTATATAATAAGTGGCTTTGCCGCTTCTCTACTCCAGTTTTCTTTCATAAACACAAACTGTTACTTAAAACCCATTCTGTTTGTTGTTAATTAAAATGAAAGAAAATAGCTGCTTCAATGACAACAGTATCAGGGTTCTGTGGAGGTTGAAAAAATAGCTAAGCTTCAAAGAAACACCTAGAATTCAAAATATGTTAATGAAAGCTGGTTTGGGGTTTCTCTTCTTGCTTAAAGACAGCCCTCCTGAACTTTTCAAGTAATTAACTCAGTTTGGCTCTGAACTTTATCTGAATTGTGATTAGGAAAAAATAAATAAAGACAAAAGAACAAGTAAATCCTCTATAAACTGTTGTGACTTGGAGTTCTAGCACGAGGCAGAGCTTGGTGTCAAGGTGGTGGCTGCGCAGGGGAGGGGAGTGGGCGAAGGGGAGGAGCCTGGAGCCTGCTCCATCATTAAAGGACCTGGGACTTGGGACCTGGGGTGAACCTGGCTGAGCCCCTGTGTATGGTTGCATATGAACATGGTTTGAAAACCAGAAGCTCCGAAAGATGTAACCTCAGCCTTGAATGAAAGTCAGGGAGAAATGTGACAATTTCTTGTTCCAGGAATTTATAAACGCCCCCTTTCCATGTCTTAAGCACCCACCTTGCTAGTTTCTGCCTCCCTGACTCGGTTCCAGCAGTTCCTTCTGCCGCCTTCCCTGCCTCATGAACCAGTCATCCTGTTTCAAAGCCACCTCAAATGGCCCCTCTTCTGTGAAGCCTTCTCTGACCCCCACCCGCCATCAGCGTCCTCATTTCTGTTTTCAATTCTTGATACTTAGGTCTACTAAGACGAGGCACGATTTATGCTGCTTGTATGCAAATCTGCCTCCCTGCTAGGTTCTACGTGATACAGGGTTCCTCGTCCAACTCCCATCCCCATGTTCTAGGCCTGGCAAACTGGCCTTTCCAGACGGCATTCTCTGCACTCAGAGCGGAGAAAAGCAGCCTGATCAGTTTCTCCTGGAAAAGAACACTCACCCTGGGGCCTCCCCGGGGTCAGGGACTGTAAGTATCGTCTTCATTTGCTAATAACTTGACCAGATGTTTTCTCTTGCCAGCCCTCGGACAAACGCGACCTGAGTCCCCCCCTGCTGGCTGGCGGTAATGAACCCTAAACAAAAAGCCACTTGCGCTTCCCACCGGTTCCCCCACCCCCGCTGCTGGGGGTTCTGTTGACATTCTTTCCTTTCTGTTTCTCTTTCTGTCAATAATCTTTGTCTTGTCACTTATCCGTAGTTTCATTCTTCTAACCCGGGATGGAAAGAACCCCCGACACAGAACTTCTGGTGCATAAGCACCGCAGGGTGGATCAGCGCCTGAGGCACTTTAAAGGGCCCAACGCAGAAGGCGGGTGACACTGACTGTGTGGCTGCCTGGGTCCTCGGAGAATCTACTGGGGAATGTGGCCCGGGCATGACTTGGCCTGGCGCTGTGGGGCAGCTCCCAGCTGGTTGTGGCTGACCCTCCGCTTATCCCCGCGTCTTTCCTTCTCCTCACTCCCCATTCTTCTCCTGACTGTCCCACTCCTCCTGCCCTGGTCACTGACTTGGAAGGGAAGATTCTATCATGAATTCTCCCCAGTGAGGTTTTCCCCAGGCAGGGCCGCACCGCCCAGGGTGAGGAAGTGGAGCACCAGCTGTGGCCCCTCTTTGCCTCCTGGAGTCACCACCTACCGACTGTGTCACTTTGGATGAGTCAGTTTAACATCTCAGAGTTTAAGTTTCCTCACGTGTAGAAGAGGGAATAATATTTGCCTTCTTGGGTTGCTGAGAAGATTAATAAAAAAATAGATGCAAAAATACTTGAAGTAGGACAGGTAATGGGCACCCACTAACAATAGTTTACTGTCCCACCCCATTATTACATTTAAGGAAATGGACTGCATTCTCCCTTTTTGTAAAAAAAACAAAACAAAACAACAACAACCAAAAACCAAAAACCAAAAAACCCCATTAAATTGCTTTGTACTTCCGCATTGAGACTGTTTTTTAATGAGTCTGTGGTGCTCAGTA